CACCAAGGACTGGAGTTTAGGGAAGGAGACAGGAAGCTTCCTCCTTAGATTAGGAGGAAGAGAGGGCAGACAGTGGTGGCACAGGCCTTTAATCCCAGCACTCGAGGGGCAAAAACAGCTGGTTCTCTGAATTTGAGGTCAGCCTCGTCTACAGAGTGAGTTTCAGGGCAGCCAGGGAAATTTTGTCTCAAAAAAAAAAAATAATCATAAACCTGGAGAGACAGCTTGGGTTTAGAGCACTTACTGCTCTTGCAGAAGATCTGGGTTCAATTCCTAGCACCTCAACCTTCCGTAACTCCAGTTCCAGGACATTTAATGCCTTCTTCTTGCCTCCACAGGTACCAGCCATTCATATGGTGCAGACATATGAAGGCAAAACACTACTCATATACATTAATAAATCAAGTAAATGAATCATTTTTTTTAAAAAGAAGAGGTGTCGTGTCAGGTGTCCTCATGGCCCTTGGAGGAGAGCGTAGTAGGCTACAGTCTAAGTCTAGTTTAGACAGAGAGGGGAAAGCTGGGCCCCGTGGCCCATGCTTGTAATCCCAGAACTCAGGAGGCTGAGGCAGGGGATTGCTCAGTTCTAAAGGAGCCTGGGCTACAGAGGAAAACCTTGCTTCAAAACAAAACAAAACAAAATAAAAGGGAAGAATTGAGGCCAGGGAGGGAGGGAAGATGACAGCTGAGATAACGAGAGGCAGCCCCCACTCAGAAAGCAGGTTCCTAAGCCTGCAGGGTTCTGTCTCAGGAGGGCTGTAGCCTAGGGGGTAACAGTCAGGTGAGGGCCCAGGTCAGACACAGGAAAGAACCCTCTGGGAGGTAGCATCTGGGCTGAGTTTTGAAGGACGGAGAGGAGTTGAGGAGACTGACTAGAGAGCGGGGAAACTGCTTTCCTCATAGCACAGGTAAGGTTGTGCTGGCCCCTGTGTTTGCCACGACTGAAGTCAGCAGCCAATCCCTGCTCCAGAGCCTTGGTAGCATGCGGCCAATGGTAGATTGTTCAGTTTCCCAGCTCCCTCCTGGTTCCAGAGCCTCAGTCCAACTCCCTGTTGTTCCACCAGGTTTCTCTCTCTTTAGCACCCAGTGTCACCTCTTCCTGTGTGGCCTAGACCAAGGCATGAAGGGGCTGTTCAGTACCAACTCACAACAGTGGCTGCCTGCCTGGGACCAGACTGGAAATCCCAGGCGAATGTTTGAGCTTCTATTAGTGGTCAGTGGGGGACACTGAGGATTCTGAGCACATTGACAACTTCATGAATCCAAGACTCACCAGTGAGCTTGACGGATTTAAGAAGCCTGTAGGGGAGTCAAGCAAAGGGCCCTGGGCAGCGGTGTGTGGGTGGGAGGGAGCTTAGTAACCAGCTCCGAGGGTGATGGAGAACAAAGGTAGATGCGGACTCTCACAATGGGAAACTCTCACTTCAACGGGGTCAAGTTTCCAAGGGAAAGCCACAGCTTAGACGTGTAGGGCAAAGTAGAGCAGGTAGCTCTCTTGAGCTGGGTAAGTTGACTCCAGCTCGCTGCCCCTCCAGGGTTGCAGGGTGCAGTACCCAGCTCTCCTTCTCTGCTGGTTTATTGTTTACTCCAGGGGGACAAGCAGATGGCAGCCAGGGTGGCAAGCCCTCTCTGGTCTGTCCGAGACCCTGACCTACACCTCAGCTTTAGCTTTGACTCAGGCAACTTCAGCCCACGCTCGGGGCAGTGTGAGGTCACTGGAGGACCACGTAGGGGAAGGGGGTTAGGGACAGGATGCGCTGGACGGGGGTTAGGGACAGGATGTGCTGGACTGCGCAAGGGTGAAGAGCAGGCCTCTCCCACTCTACCCATAGCTCATGTGTGGGACAAACCGGCCAGCTAGCAAGGGATGGGGCATACAGGGAGTGCAAAGGGCTTGAAGACAGACAAGAGACTCTAGACCACCCACGCCCCAACCTGCCTGCAACAGGATGGGTCTCTGGGCCTCAGCACATCTGGCATTGCCCTTCCCTCCCTGTCTCTGGGAAAAGTCCTGGTCTGAAGGGCTGGGATCCAACACGGCCTCCAGTCTGCTTGATCCTTCTCAGAGTCATTTATCAACCAGGGGCAACACTTGGACTTTGTTTTAATATAGTACTTTATTGTCCTGTAGATTCTGTTTTTTATTTAGATTTTTAAAATATTATTTTATTATTTATGTATATGCATGTGAAGAGGGGCAGCCATAGAGGGTGTGTGGCCCTTTGGAGCTGGAGTTATAGGCAGTTGTGAGCTGCCCCATGAGGGTGCTTGTAGAACTCAGGGCCTCTGGCAAGGCAGGCAGCACTCATCCACTGAGCCATCTCTCCAGCTCCTTTCGTTTTTAAGCAATATATCTGATAGAAGAGCCCACTAACATAGCGCAAAAATTCAAATGCACCACAAAGGTCGCCCTTTGACCTCATCGGGTCTACCGTCTTACCATTTTCTTTTCCACTCTTCCGTGTGCTTGCACGTGACGTGCACGACCACACACACGCTACACATGGTACACACTCGCACTGCTCCTTGAAGGACAGTTGTGCTGAAATGAATCTTCATTCGCATTTTCGCTAAACAAGGTGTTCTTTCGCCTAGTTACAATGTAATTTTCAAATGTCAGGAAATCAGCAATGCTGCTCCCTAATCTCCAGGTCTCGGTTCCATGAATCATCAGTTATCCTATTAACATCCTTACCACAGCGTGGCTTGGACCTCGGATGATGGCTGCCAGTGATGGAGGAGGATCATCTGTCTATGTGTTACTTTCATTGGTTAATAAAGAAACTGCCTTGGCCTTTGATAGGACAAAAAATTAGGTAGGCAGAGTAAACAGAACTGAATGCTGGGAGGAAGAAGGCAGTGAGCCAGATGCTATAGCTCTCCTCTCCAAGATGGACGCAGGTTAAGATCCTTCCCAGTAAGCCACCACCTCGTGGTGCTATACTCATGAATAGAAATGAGTTAATCAAGATGTGAGAGTTAGCCAGTAAGAGGCTAGAGCTAATGGGCCAAGAAGTGTTTAAAAGAATACAGTTTCCATGTAATTATTTTGGGTAAAGCTAGCCGGTGGCCGGGAGTCCTCCCGGGTGGCGGGAAGCAGCCCGCCACTCCATTTACGTGCCAGGCTTACATGTGTTGCCCTTGACACAGAGGAGGTTATTTGGGATAATGTTGGCATTATTGCTTTTTGCCCCCCTCCCTGTCCCCCTTATTCCTCCCCAGGGTCCCCACCATGCCTTTGGGCACTCCTAAGATCCAGATAGGACTGTGGCCATGTCCATCTCTCTAGGACATCAAACTCCTGAGGGTGGAGAGTGAGGGCCATTCCCTTCTGGGTTCCACCAGCTTAGCACAAACCTCACACCTGTGACCTTGAAGAGTCCCCAGCCTTAGCCTCCTGCCACCTGCGGGCCCTGGTCCCAGGTTTCCTGACTAGGTGGCTGCTCTTCATCTGCCTGCCACTCCCTCATATGGGATGTCTAGAGTTGTCTCTAGCCCCGAAATATCCATGTCCCAAACCTGTGTCACCATCCTGTCCCCACCACTTCCTTGCACATCAATGGCCCCACTGTTCTTGAATGATCTAGGCATGAGGCTTTCGAATTCATCACCTTCATGGCTGGTCATCAGCCACAGCAATTTTTCCCGCAAGCCATTGTTCATATCCACCAACCCCTTCCGAGGGCTCTGATCCCCTCTTTCTTAGACTCTGTTTTGGTCTGAAATCTGGATGCTTCTGTCCACTTTCTAAATGGCCAACCCCAGCAGAGCACTAGGGATCGTGCTGGGACAGACCCTCCAAGAAACACACAGCATCCCTAGTAGGAAGGGACTTAAAATCCACAAGTGTGCCTCCCCTTCCCACTCCCCCCAACTGCACACCCAAACAAACTTCTTAGCAAGGAACCTTCCTGCATCCTGGAAGCTGGGGCCCAGGAGAGGTTGGGGACACTGACTACTGTGGTTAAGCCCGGAGCAGAAAGAAGGAACCCTAAAGGGTATGTGAAGGGCACCAAACTGCGAGTTGACCTTTCGAGAATGTTCTTGTCTCCCAAGCTCGATCCTGCCCACCATCGCCACTGCTCATGCCCTCTGCCCACCTCCACTGGGCCCTGTCCTTGGTCAGACACAGGGTAAGGACACAGATGCCGCACACTGATACCATCCACGCTGTGCACACACACAAGGGGCAGCAGGTGGCATTCTTCTGAGATCCGGAGCGTGGCAGAGGACAGTGGAGCTAAGCCTTGAAGAATGAGCAAGAGTCTGTGCAGAGCCAGACCTGGGCAAGGAAAGTAGCGGGCATGGAGTTAGTAGGGACTTGGAAGTGTTTAGGGGAGGTCAAGCTGGGAAAGGTGAGGTGGCCAGACTGGAGGACAGTGAAGCAAGTGCTTGTGGACTCAGGGACTTCTGATCAGAGATGTGTGGCCTCGGAAACCCTTCCTGCCATCCATAACTTCTGTCTTCTAAATGGGGTCAGCTTCTCCAATCTGGCCCATGGGAAAGCAAGAGGGTACCTCCTCAGCACTTGCCAGTTTGCACGGAGCCGCAGAAGAAAGGACCTGACCAGGGTGATTGTCTGTCTTTGGGAAAAGCCAGGCAGGTCATTTTCCCGAGTCTAGACGGTTGGGGGTGAAGAAGGAAGGTGCCCCAAGTTCCTCTGAGGAGGACAGGCTGGGTGATAGGCCTAGCTGCTGGGAATTCTGGGAAAGAGCCACAGTGCCCACAGGGCCTCGCCAAAGCAAACCAAGCTGTGCTGGCTCTGCCTCCCTGTGCTAGGGGGTGGAGGGGGGGTGGGGGGTGTCTGCCCCGGGGGAACGGGAGGAACCGGGTGGCGGATTTGTGTTTCCACTTGATTTCCTCGGTTGTTTTCCAAACGTGGTAGCGGTATCCTGAGGGGCGGGGTGGAGGCGGAGAAGCCACCGGAAGGCGCCATAGCCCCACTGCTGCCTACCCCCATGTGACTTGGCTGACGACAGTACTGCGTGGAAAGGCCTAGAGGCTTCCGTCCCGGGCTGCTGGACAAGTGGGTGGCGTTGACCAAGGCACTGGGCCCACACGGGCCGCACCCTGCGTGATCCGTTGTCTCCAAGCAGGCTGCCCCACTTACGAGGAACCTTTGATCCTGTGAGTTAAGAGTGATCCTGGTGGTGGCTGACTCCCAGACTCGATGTCATCCTGGGGGCCAGGTCCCTTAACAGGCCTGGGGCGTACATAGCTGCCTCTGTCTCCCTAGCTTCCTCTTCCTGCTCCAGCTACCCCCTAAGCTCTTTCCTACTGCCTGTTTGCAGGTCCACCATTCTGGGTCTTGCTGCCCGTCCCACCTGGATACCCCATTCTCGCTAGTGTCTTTCTTGCCTTCTCCGGCTCCAGGCTCTGGTCACTGCCTCAGCGGTGGCCTTACTCATTCCACTCACCCCTGCTCCCTCCGAATTCCTCCCTCTCCTCAGGATCTGCTCGGACACTGTCTGGTTGTGGGATAGTGGACCAATCCCAGCCTTTGTGAGGCTTCCAGCTACTCCTCTGAGCAGTGGAATTATTCCAGAAGAACCAACGACCCCCCGCCCCTGCTGGGTTGGTAGGAGAAGTGCCTGAGGTAGTTACCGTCCCTAACCTCACAGCAGCTGTCTGCCTGAGACTTTGCTCTGAGACTCAGTTTCTCCTTCTGAAAAATGAGAATAACAACGGTACTTTCCCTGTGTGATGGAAATCTGGCTTCCTGGAGAGGTCAGGCCTGTCAGTGAATCTGGATAAAACCACAGAAGCTGGAATCTCATAGCCCAGCGAAGCAGAGGCCACAGGGCTAATGGGAGTTTTAACAAAATCAAAACCACACTGAATTATTTGTTTACTTATTTATTTACTTATTGAGACAGTGTCTCACCCTATGGCCCTAACTGGCCTGAAAATCCTGTGTAGACCAGGCTGGCCTCAAGCTCACAAAGCTCTACCGGTCAGCCTCCATCTCCCGAGTGCTGGCTGGCACTGAAGGTGTGCTCTACCATGCCTGACTGGGTCACTGATTTTTAGTAGGAACTTGGGCTCATTTGTGAGAGCATCAGGCTCTGTAACTAAACTGAGGTTAATAACTAATTATTTAAATTATCTTTTGGTGATGCTCCCTATATGCCAGGCCAGGGTTTAACTGAGGAGCCAGGCTCATCCCTGAAGTTTATTGTTTTACTGGACAATCTCCGAGAAAGCCGCCAGCATGGTCTTCGTTCTACGGGTGAGAAAAACAAAGACCCGGCGAGATCAGGACTTGCTCAAGGGTGTGTCTTAGTGGAAGAGTTTACATGAGAATGTAGACAAGGGTCTTCTTATGGCGTGGTCCTCTCTCTTTTCTGCCTGTCTCCCGATGCTCCCTGTACAACCTGTAGCAGGAGCCCACCTGCTGGTTGACGTTGTGAATTGTGTGTGCCCGCATGCCTGGATCCCTTCTCCTGTTTCTATCTGATGCCTTCCCTGCACTGGGCTTTTCTCTTGACACCATCCTAAGGCCTTGAAGTGGACAAGGTACAAGGGTGCCAAGTCGTGGGGCTGCCCAAGGGCCCACAGTGGAGCCACCACCTATGGTGTCAGGCCCTCTGACTCATGGCAGGGGCCTTGCATCTTGCTGAGAATGCCCAGGCCTAGCCTGATTGCCCCACAGCTGTGTCTCAGCAAGCCCAGCCAGTAGACTTACTGAGTGACGCTGACCTCAGCTGAGTGACCTCTCTCTGCCCTCTGAAGAATGAATTCATAGTCTCTTGCCCCACCTCCCCCCCCCCCCACCACCCCTGCCCCCTGCCACCCCTCTCTGAGACAGGGTCTCCCTATGTAGCTCTGGCTGTGCTGGAACTTATGTAGACCAGGCTGGCCTCGAACCTGGACAGATCCTCTTGCCTCTGCCTCCCGAGTGCAGGGATGAAAGGCATGTGCCACAATGCCTGACTGAATTCTCTATTTTAATGGACCACAAATCTGTTGAGTGGCTGTGGCTGTACACTGGCACGTAAAGCTTCAGGAGGCCAAGCCCAGCCCGACTGAGCGGAAACCCTGCAGTCAAACTCTGCTTTTGTGGGCCATTTTGAAGGCACCACAGCAAGATGGGACTGGTGGGGGGCTGTCCCTAGAAACAGTCCAAAGGAGGGTCTTCATGCTATATAGTCAAGGCATAAGTTGTAGATGAGGTTTGTCCTCTAGAGGTGCTGTTCAGGGGCCTGTCACCCACCCACCGGTGACCAAGGAGTTCACCTTACACACCTACTAGGAAGAATTCCCACTCCAGGCACTTAGTAGGTATTGTGTAAACATTAGCGGCAAGAACTGGATGATAGAGGGGCAGCCACCTAAGAAGGAGGGGCCTGTGGAAGTAATCCCCAAAGGTGTAGCAAAGTTCTTCAGGGTCTCCAGCGTCTATGCCTGAGACCCCCATGACATCATACCCATGGACAGCCAGGGTCCTTGTCTCAATGCAGCACAGATTACATCAACCCCCCACCCCCTGTTCCAAGCTTTGGTGGACCCCTGACGTCGTCCCTTCCTTTAGTCTTCACAGCTGGGCTCCTGACCCTCAGTGTTTGACCTCTCCTGCAGCATTGGCCCCCTGCCTGCTCCTAAGCTCAGCAACACTTTCCCTTTTGGGGCCTTGGCATGTGATCTCTCTGTCTAGAATATTCTTCTACACATCTTCCTTCTTTCATTCAGAATCTTAGTCCAATGTCACACTCTTTTTGTGGTTCTCCCTTCCTCTCTTCCCTCCCCCTCTTCCTCCTCCTCCACCACCTTTTTTTTTTTTTTCAAGACAGGGTTTCTCTGTGGTTTTGGAGCCTGTCCTGGAACTAGCTCTTGTAGACCAGGCTGGTTTCGAACTCAGAGAGATCCGCCTGCCTCTGCCTCCCAAGTGCTAGGATTAAAAGCGTGTGCCACCACCGCCCACCTTTTTATTGACAGGGCCTGGCACTTTCTCTGTAGCCCAGGCTGGTCTAGAACTTGAGATTCTCCTAGCTCAGCCTTGGGAGTCCTGGGATCATGGGCGTGCACCATTGCAGCTGCAGCGATTGTGTTTCTCATGGCCCCCTCCCTCCTGGTTTGCCCTGATGTCAGCTTATGGGTTTATTGTTCATCTCCCTCTCGTGAACATTGACTGCAAGGGCAAAAGCAGGCCATTTCTCCATGGGTATAGCCCCTGGGCTGGAACAGCGCCGAGGACACAGCCCGAGTTCCATCATTGTTTGAAGACCTTAGGAAGGGGGAAGGGAGGGGGGGAGGGAGGAAGGAAATTGAAGGGAGGGAGGAAGGCGTGAAGGAAAGAGTGGGAATGGAGGAGGAAGGTCAAGAGAAAGGGTAGGAGGGGGAGAGGACGCAAAAGCATCTTTTAGTGTCCCCTGCCCTGTTCTAGAAGCCTGGGCACCAAGAATAGTACATAGAAGGTGGGGCAGCAGGAGAAAGCTGGGCTGGGAATAAAGAAATTCAATTAGATTTGAAGAACTTCCTATAAGACAAAACAGAGCAAAGATGGGAGGCACTTTGTCAAGGAGAGACAGCTTCCCTGCAGTACCCTTGGAACTGGGTAGACCAGCCATGGGACCTGAACCCAGAAGATGTCAGGAATCAGGGGGTTCCCCAGAGGGCAGGCGATCTTGAAGGCCCTTCTCATGGCTCATCCGGCCAGGCCTAGGCAGGTAGAAGCCCGTCTATGGATCGTCCCCAGGCCAGAGGCAGCTGGGATTTGGCCAAGCGGCCATGTTGGGAGTCTGGTTCTGACTAACAGAGAGGGCTGGGAGACAGGAAGTCCCACTGCTCTGGACCCCATAGGCCCCTCCAGCTCCTACTTCTCCCTGCCTCCCACAGTGGCCTCAGGCCCCTGTGCCCGCGCCCATGGGGTTAAATCTCTCCCTGTCTCTCTCTGCTCCAAGTTGTTTTCCAAGCGAGGCAGAGAATGGTTCTCTTGTTACCAACATGGCTTCTGGGCATTGGGTAATGCGCTCCCTCTTCTCCCTGCCCCATGTCACAAAGGGACCTTTTGTTCCTCTCCCGGCCCCTCTCTCTGGCTCTTCTCTGCCCCCCACCCACCCTAACTCCCTCCTCCCCACGCCTCCTGGCCTACTCTGCTGCACCCCTGGGCTGCAGGAGTGACCGTGGCCTGGCCGTGCTGCCCTCCTTCTTCCAGGGCGCCTAGGGAGGAGAAAGGACCTTGGCGGTCGCGGCGGCCATTTTGAAAACTGTCCTTCTAGGCTGTCCGCGGCTTCTCTGAGGCTTCCAGGGCTGGAGGAGCCACTCTGGGGGAGCCTAGGGCTCAACTGAGGTCCTGGGGCCCACTTTCTGCCACCAGGCTGAAAAGGGACCTTCATCTTCCAAGCTTCCAGCCCAGGCGGCTCAGCACTGAGACAAGATACTTTTCAGTCAGCCATCTCGTCTACACAGCGGCCTCCTGGGGCCAGGAAGTTGCTGTCCTGGAAGGTGGAGACTAGGGCTCAAGGGGGGAGTGTTGGTGTCAAGGCCTCGGTGTGCAGGTGCTATGGTTGGGGCCAAGGCACAGGTGTTCCCCAGCAGACCCCTCTAGAGAGAGCAACGCACACACTGGGTCTGGCCTCTAGAGAGGGCCAAAACCAAATTCCCTGGAACTTTGCAAAATGAAACAGACTGTGTCTGAGATGGGGAGTGTCAGGAAGCCAGCCAGACAGTGAATGAAGCGTCCGCTCCCTGGGAAGCTTATGCCACTGTGGCCTCCCACAGCCACCCCGCAAAATGGAAGGACTGATGATAGCACTTTTTAAATGAGGAAACTGAGTCACAGGGAAGCTACACAATCGGGTCCTGGATCTCACCCCCACTGACTCCAGTTCACTTGTTTTGTCTTCCAGGACCACTGCCTGCCCACCCCAAAAGAGCCTAGTGCCTGGAAGGAGAGGGACAGGAACACTTGGGTGGATTCCACCGCCTGGCCATGTCTAGAATCCCAGAGGCCATGGCTCTGAGGAGGCTGGGCTCAGCGGCCAGAACACTCACTGACTGCTCCATCTCTCCCATTGGCATGGACAGAGCATGTTCACAGGCTGGGAGTATGTGTGTTCCTCTGTTTCTGTTCTGCTGGGCTTGTGTCGTAGGGGGCAGAGACAGCCATGAACTTGAGGACTCGTTGGGATGGGTGGTGAGGGGCACTGGGAGAGTGGGGGAGAGTTGAACAACTGTGGCCCTCAAAGAGAGGGGTTGAGTCTCAAATGCTGCGAGTCAGGATGCCTGGATACACTGAGGAATCCTTCTTCTGTCTGGAAGCTGAGGGTGAAAAGCTTCCTGGAGGAGGCGCTAGAGATTAGCTCCAAATGGAGGCTGAGGTAAGAAGCAGGGAGGAGCTGCTACTGGGGGGAGGCAGGCAAGGAGGTGGTGCATGGTGTGTGGGAGGGAGAAGTCCCATAGCCCATATGTGCCCTAGGTGGAGCGTGGAAAATGAGGGGTGCCATGTGAACCCAGAGGACTGATGGTGGCTATTGAGAAGACGCTTGGATCCTGAGGGCAGAGGGAAGCTCTATGTATGTGTGTGTATGTATGTATGTATGTGTGTATGTATGTATGTTTGAGACAGAGTCTGTCTATGTAGCCTTGGCTGTCCTGGAACTCTATATGGGCCAGGCTGGCCTCCAACTCACAGACACCTGCCTGCCTCTGCCTCAGTCCTGGGATTAAAGGCTTGTGCCATTAGCCCTAACTACTCACTGAGTTTATAGAGTCAGATTTATGTGTTCTAGAAAGTTCTCTGCCCTGTTGGCTAGGTCTGTGCCAGCCTGGCTTACTGTTGGGCCTCCAGCACCTAGCACAGTGCCCAGCAGATGTCAAAGCTTTTGAATCAGTGGGTGGTGCGGGCGGCATCCGTGGAGGCAATGGCTCTCTCTACTGTGGCACTGAGGCCTCAGTCTCCTCCTGGGTAAAATGGGGTGACAGGTGCCCGCCTGGTGGGCATGTTGCAGTGGTTGGAGAAACGTGGCAGGATTACCTACGTGGCTCATGTATGGCCAGCACTCTGGTATGGGGTCTTCTTTGGGGGAATGTGGAGGCTGGGACCCTGGGTGGGGCAACAGAGATCATGCCAACAGTGATGGTCTTCACATAGCCCCCAAACAAGCCAGGAAGGAGGAAGGTTGCTTTTCCTGTCACATCATCCAGGTAGATGAGGCTCAGGTAGGAACCTGACTTGCCCAAGGCACCTCCACCTCTGAGTGGTAGGCGGAGAGTCACTGGATGCCAGCTTGTACCACCTCGAGGATCGGGATGGGTGAGACTTTGAGACTTGGAAATGGACCAGATGGTGGGGGCAGGCACAAGACAGGGAAGGGATCAAGATCAACCCACCCCCTATGTTTTTGGTAGATAGATCATGCCATTTCATAGCAAGGCAAAGCAGTTTGAGTACTGTGAGCATGTATGTGAGGAGACACTATGAGGTCTGGGGGGGGGGCAGGGGCGGTCTCACAGCTTGGGACTGGGAAAAAAAGGGGTGAATGCCCCCCCCCATGCTAGGGCAAGGCCAGGGAGATGTGTGGAAAGTTGTAGATCCCCTGGGCATGGAGAAAGGAGGGAAGGAGGATGCTGCTGGCTTGTCTTCCTGCCACAGGGGGTCATAGAGGTCAGGTGACCAGCAATGTGGCCTGGAAAGACAGGAGAGATGCTTCAGAGAGAAAGACCTGGGCCCTGGACCGTCCCCAGAGCAGAGGTGGGTGTGTTTGAGAAAAAGGACTTGCTGGTGGTATCTGGGGGCAACACCAACTCCCTTGGACACAGGAGGGGGATGGAGGACCACAGTCTAGGAACACTGTTTTCTACAGGGTGAGAGAAAGGAGGGATGGGGAAGGAGAGATACTGATGGTGCATGGGGAAGGCTTCGAGGGGAAGATCACCCAGCAGGCAGGAGAGTCAGGGAGGGAGGGTCTGGAGACAGGAGCCATCTGATGGTGGGGGAGGGGAGCTGAAGTGGCATTTCCATGCTGCAGTTGGAGGTGGCTTCATAGAGCTTGGGGTGCCCTAAGAACTGGCATCTCCAGGTCTAGAGAGGGCATGAGGGTGCATAGAGCTTGGGGTACGCTGAGAGCTGGCATCTCCAGGTCTAGAGAGGGCACGAGGGTGCATAGAGCTTGGGGTACGCTGAGAGCTGGCATCTCCAGGTCTAGAGAGGGCACGAGGGTGCATAGAGCTTGGGGTACACTGAGAGCTGGCATCTCCAGGTCTAGAGAGGGCATAGAGCTTGGGGTGCCCTGCGCTGGCACCTCCAGGAGTTGCTGAGCTGCCTTTTTCCTTCTTGGTGCTGGCCACATTCCCAGCCTGGGAGCAATGACCCTGTCCTACACCCATGCCATTCCGGATGGTTTTGCAGAGGTAGTCCACCTGGTCATGGACAGCTATCATCACCCCACTGTGTGGGCATCAAGGAGAGCAAGGGCTAGGCAGCTTCAGAGGGATTGGGTGGTCTCCAGCCACATCCCTTCGTGTGACCCCTCCCACTTTTCCCCCAAAGGGCTGCAAAACTGTCGCCTGCCACAACATGGTGCCGGAGCACATAGTAGGAATGTCTGCCTTGTCTGCCCTTGGCAGAGTTCAGAACCTACTCATGAGGCCGCCTTACCCAAGACAATATTCCTGAGAGGGAGAGAACAGGGCCCCCTGCTGGTCTGCAAGAGAGGGGTCGTTTCCTCTATCCAAACCGGACACTTCATCTCCAGGGAACCGCTATGAGCCTCCCAGACCACTCATGCCTTCTGCCATAGACATCAGTCATCCTTGCTGCTCGGTTCCCAGGGTTGGGGCAGCAGGACAGGAGACCAGCCAAGGTGCACAGGAGCAAGAGGGCCCAGGATCTCAGGAGTCGTTGTTGAGTTAACCTTACTTGTCTCAACTTTTGTAGGTTCCCTCCATGGCGGGCTGCAGGGTCACCATGTGACACACAGGACACACCTGCCACAACTGCAAGGCAGGGCTGCTCCCAAAGGACCACGCGCAAGTCCGGTCTCTGTCGTGACTTGGTTCCAGAAGAGGCTGCACCCGACAACGCTCTGTTAAAGATGTGTCTGTGTAGCTCTATGCCTGGAGACGCTATTGCAGTGTGTGTGATAACAAAAGCCGGCTGTGACCTTAACAGTCAAGAGCCCAGGACGGGAACCCAAGGCAGATCACGTTTACATAACAGAATGCATTGTGGTGGTGAAAAAATGACATTCCTGCAGGATTTTTAATATTGTAGAGAAGTGTCTATGGTGTAAGGTCATGTGAAACCCAGGACATCTGCAGATATGTGTGTTCAGGTAGCTTCAACTAGGAGCAGTGTGGTCAAAGCTAATAGTGAACCCTGTACGAATCCACTGTATTTAAACACGTGGAGAGAGAAAACAGGACAGGTTGGGGCGATGACTCAATTGGTGGTGTGCTTGCTGTACAAACCTGAGGTCCTGAGTTCAGTTCCCAAAACCACATGAGAAAGCCAGGGGTGATATCATGTGCTTGCAATTCTCGACACCAAAGAACACAGGCAGATCCCCCAGCTCAAGAGCAGCTGGCCTAGAAAACTTGTCAGGTTCTAGGCCAGTAAGAGTCCCTGTCTTAATGTTGTCCTCCAGCCTCCGTATGCATGTACACACGAGTTACCCGAGGAAGGTGGGGAGATTGCACAGACATGCTTATACACATGCAAACACTTTTCAGAGTGTAATAGAGATGGTTCAGTGAAGCACTTGCTGCTCTAGCAGAGGACCAGAGTTTGATTTCCAGTACTCGTGTTGGAAAGCTCACAGTCACCTGTTACTCCGTTCTGGGGGATCTGATCCCATTCTGGCCTCTTTGCATACCCACATGTACACGCATAAACACACACATAAACAAACATCTTTTTTAAAAAAATTTAAAAAAAATCTGGAACGACAATAGAAAAAAATTGAACCTTTATTCTTGGGATTGTGGACTTTAGTGAATTTATCTATTAATTTACTGTTCTTTGAGGCAGGGTCTCACTATGTAGCTCTGGCCAGGCTGGAGCTCCATGTAGACCTGACTCTGGCCTTCATCTTTTGGCAGTCCTCCTGCTTTGGCCTCCTGAGTGCTGGGATTACAGTTGTATGTCACTGCGCTCAGCTGAGTTTACTTATTTTCTAACTTTACTTTATTCCGTGTGTGTGTGTGTGTGTGTGTGCTGCTGAGGCTAGATGAGTCCCTGGCTGCCTCCCTCATTGGCCCCTGGTCCCTGCCACATCCCGGCAGTCCACGATGGTGGCTAGTTAACTGGGATCTGCGGACAGAGGAGGTGGAGGGCTATATCTGGGGCCTCAGCAAAGCAGACCCCACCAGAGGAGATGGCCTGGTGTCCTCACTGGGTATAATGACCTGATGGCAATTAAAGGCCAGCAGGGACTCCTCCCTCCAAGAAGGATGGATGGGAAAGGGGAGGGGCTCCCCTGGGGCTACGAATGCTTAGATGCTGCCACTGACAAGCTGAGCTATCCATAGCCCTGAGCACAATATGGTCATTAACCCCTGACCCTGGCCCCTACTTAGCCACTTCCTCTGCAGGAGGAGGAGGGAGGGATTCCATCATGATGCTCTTTTTAGTGAGGTTTGGGGGGTCACAGCTCACTTGCTCTCTGTAGGCGCCTCTGGAACTCAGGTCTCAGGCTCTCTAGCTCCACAGCTATTTCAGATTAGAGCAGGAGAGAGCATCTCACTCTTTGGCACCCTCAGGAGCATTCATGGGCCAAGTGCTTCAAGCCAGAGTAGTGTGAGAGGAAGGAATGGACAGAGACAGACAGGGAGGCCTAGATAAAGGCTGCCCTTGTCCCCTCCACGCATGTTCAAAGGCACACAGAGAACAAGCCTGCTAGGAAATGGGTCCTACTCAAACATTAATGCATTAACACTCCTAAATAGGCCCCAGCAGCACAGCCCCAGCCAGGCAGAATAACTGGTACATATCCTAGAAACGCAAGCCTGGCGGAATACTTGGAATCTGTCTACACAACTCAGCAGTGACTGGGCGAGCTTAGGAGACAGTCCCAAGGCCATCTCAGCCCTGGAGACACATTTCAGCAGCTCCCTGGGGTGAATGGTCTTAGACCCACAGGGTCAGGGTGGGGAAGGAGCCTCAGAGCTAAGGAAGATCATTGCTGAAGCCCAGCACAGTTTCCAAAGGGGCGGGAGACCCATCCCTTAAAATCAGCCTCGCTGCATTCGCCACTCATCCGCGCGTCTGCTCGTTTTGTATCCGAGCTCCCAGCCAAGGCCGGTGGCTGTACAGGAAACTTCCAGATAAAGCAGTGTAGGGGTTGGGAGGGAGGATGCGAAGTGACATTAAAGAGCCACAGTGGCCTACACAAAACTCCAAAGTAATCCACAGGCAAATAACGAGAAAATGAAATTTACCCAGGAGACACATCCATCCAAACAGTATAAGAGACTAATGCTGGCTGGAAAGATGACTCAGCATGTAAGTGCTTCTACTTCAGGGCCCGCTGACCTGCGTTCAGACCCCAGAATACAAATGGTAGAAGAGAAAAGACTCTCATGGCTTACCCTTTGACCTCCAAACCTGGGCCTGTGCATGCTTAAGTGCTTGTGCACACACACGGACACACACACACATGCACACGGACACACACACACATGCACACGGACACACACACACACACACATGCACACGGACACACACACACATGCACAGAACACACACGGACACACACACACATGCACACGGACACACACACACATGCACATGGCAGGTTTTTTTTTGTTTGTTTGCTTGTTTTTTGTTTTTCAAGACAGGGTTTCTCTGTAGCTTTGGTGCGTGTCCTGGAACTAGCTCTTGTAGACACGGCAGTTCTTAAAAAATATTTGTGTATGAGTGTTTGCCCATGAATGTGTATCAAACCTGTGCCGGGTGCCCTCAGAGGCCAGAAGAGGGTGTTGGATCCCTTGGGACTGGAGTTACAATGGATGTGAGTCACTGTGAGGGTCCTGGAAATTGAACTCTAGTGACCACTGATACCTCCTGCCAGCCTGCTAATGTTTTTTTGTTTTGTTTTATTGCAAAGCCAGGCTTAGTGGCACACAGCTGCAACCCCAGCACTCAGGAGATAGGGGCATTGACTGGAGAGATGGCTTGGGGGTAAGAGCGCTGGCTGCCCTTCTAGAGGACCTGGGTTTGATTCCCAGCACCCACATGAGCTCACAACTGTAACTTAAGTCTTAGGGATCTGATGCCCTCTTCTGGTCTCCAGGACATTGCACCGACATACAACACGCAAGCAAGACATCCGTACACATAAGATTTAACATGAAGAGAAAAAAGAAGAAAAAAAAAAGAGGCAGAAGCATGAGGATTGTTGAAAGTCTAGGATAGACTGGTCTACATAGCTCTTGGCCAGGCTGGGCTGTATAGTGAGGGAGTGTCTTTTCGAAAAAAAGCACAAATCAAAACAACAACAAAACCATGAACTGCAGCTCCAGCACGAGTGACAGAAGCCAGCTACAACGGGACACACATTAAATTATTCCGCAGCAGCAACTCCGAGGTCACAGCGGAGGAGGACTGGGGAGAGCTGGGGAGAGAGAGCCAGGAAGTAAATGTAGGTGGGGAAACATTTGGCGGCGGGGGGGGGGGGGGGGGGGGGGGTGGGGTGGGGGGGTGGGTAGGAGGGGCATGGTAAAAATATTTTGGAATTACAACACTGGCGAAGCTTGTGTAGCCTTGCAAAGGGCCCAAACAACGCTGGATGGATACAGTAGACAGTCAAAGTGGTGGTGGCTGTGTGGTGTGTGGATCATATTCAGATGTAAAAATGATTGCATATAACGTCAAAGGCAACAGAATAAAACTCCCTGCCTTCATTTCTTACCTGCTTCATTTCTTGTTTTTTTATTTGTTTGTTGGATTTTTTAAAAAATATTTATTTATTTATTATGTATACAATATTCTGTCTGCCTATATTCCTGCAGGCCAGAAGAGGACACCAGACCTCATTACAGATGGTTGTGAGCCACCATGTGGTTGCCGGGAATTGAACTCAGGACCTTTGGAAGAGCAAGCAATGTTCTTAACTGCTGAGCCATCTCTCCAGCCCCTTGTTTGTTGGATTTTTTTAAAAACGGGGTCTTACTATGTAGTTCTGGCTATCCTAGAACACACAAAGATCCACCTGCCTCTGCTTCCTGAGTGCTGGGATTAAAGGCATGCACCACCCGCCAAGCTGGCTTATTTTTTTGAAATAGGTTTTTTTTGGGGGGGGGGTGTTGAGACAGGGTTTCTCTGTGTAGCTTTGGTGCCTGTCCTGGAACTCACTTTGTAGACCAGGCTGGCCTCAAACTCACAGAGATCCACCTGTCTCTGCCTCCCGAGTGCTGGGATTAAAGGCGTGTGCCACCACCACCTGGCTAAATAGGGTTTTTACTATGTAGTCCAGAGTGACTTCACATTCATAATCCTCCTGCCTTAACCTCCTGAAAATGGGTATAGATGTCTGTCAGCCTGGCTGAGTCTAAAAAATATGATTTTAAAAAAACCTTCTACTTATAATAACATAATAAATATAATAAAGGATTTACAGTGTTACTGAAAAAATTGTTTAGTGGTTTCTTTTAAAAAATTAAAACCTTGGGGGGGCGGGTGTGAGAGGGCTCAGTGGATAACAGCGCTTGCCACATAAGCTAGAGAACCTGAATGTGATCCTGGGTCCCACGGTGGAAGGAGAGATCCTATTCCTTAACACGATTCCCTGACCTCCATGAGTGAGCCTGCGCACGCACGCACACACACACACACACACACACACACACACACCACATTAAAAAATTTGATTTTGTTTTGTTTTGTTTTTTTTTTTTTTTTTGAGACAGGGTTTCTCTGTGGTTTTGGAGCCTGTCCTGGAACTAGCTCTTGTAGACCAGGCTGGTCTCGAACTCACAGAGATCTGCCTGTCTCTGCCTCCCAAGTGCTGGGATTAAAGGCGTGCGCCACCACCGCCCGGCTAAAAAATTTGAAAGTAAGAAAGATAATAAACTGTACTTACTGCAGGACCCAGTGATAGCATCCCAAGTATTTGTTGAGAGAAATGCGTGCACAGAACCACGGAGCAGTTTGCAGGTTGGGAAAATAGCTGGAGAGGTTTACAAGTGAATGCTGGAGTCTGGCACGGTGGTCCCACGCCTTTGATCTCAGCACTAGGGGAGGCAGAGGCAGATGAGTCTCTGCGAGTTCCAGGCTGAACGGGGCTATACGGTGAGACCTTGGTTGGGCTGAGAAGATGGCCGATCAGTAAATTGCTTGCTGTGCCCAAGTTCCCAGAACCCAAGTCTAAAAATATGGCAATAAAGCCAGGAGGTGGTGGCACACACCTTTAATGCCAGCACTCAGGAGGCAGAGGCAGGTGCATCTCCATCCCCAGCACCACACAGACCAGATCCGATGCTGCCTGCCTGTCATCAAAGGGCTTGGGAGGTGGTGATAGGAGGCTATCCTTGGCTCTATGGAGAGTTCTAGACCAGTCTGGCCTATGTGAGACCTTGTCATCATAACCAAACCAAACCAGGACTGGGGAGATGGCTAGGCAATTAAAAGCACACACTGCTCTCGCAGAGGACTTGAGTTTGGTTCTCAGCACCTATGTTGAGTAAGAGTCTGGAACTTCAGGTCCAGAGGATCTGAGGCTCTGGCCTCCAAGGACATCTGCACTTGTGCCCACATACCTCTCCCCCATATGCATAGTTAAGAATAATTTTTTAAAAAGGAGTCCCTATAGGGGAGGAGCACAGAGTGACAGGGGTGACTGATGTAAGGGTGTAAGAGGAGTCATTGATGAAACCTGGCTTCCTGGCTAGTTTTTAAAACTGGCCATGTTTGAAACTTTCCTTAAGGAATGAAAGAGAGCTAGGTGGTGGTGGCACACGCCTTTAATCCAAGCACTCAGGAGGCAGAGGCAGAGGGATCTCTCTGAGTTTGAGGCCAGCCTGGTCTACAGAGTGAGCTCCACGACAGCCAGGGCTACACAGAGAAACCCTGTCTCAAAAAACAAAAACAAAGCAAGCAAATAAACAAACGAAGAGAGAGAGAGAGAGAAAAAAAAAAAGAAAAGGGAAAGACCCAAATCAATGCCCAGAGGCAGCCAGTAACTCACAAGGCGAGTCAAGATACCCACTTCTTCCTGACTGCCTCTACATTCAGTTCAATACAATCACGGGGACCAGCAAGAGCCCCGGACACCAAGCAGAGGAGTGGAGCCTTGCCTGCTGAGCACCCAGCCTTAGCCTAGGGTGCCACTTCAGGGCTCCCTGCAGCACAGCTGGACCTGAGACTGAGGGGATAGCACAAGGCTGCACCCGGGGGACACTGCAGGACACTGACAAGGAATTCCTCTCATCCGTCTCCACCTGTCATTCCTGGAGCCTTCTTGTGTGGCTGCACTCACTTGAGCATCCCAAGCTATGTCACTCGAGGTCACAGCCTGAAAGAGGGCCCGAGGTCTTCTGGCTTCAGTCCTAGGCTCTTTCCAAAGAGGACCCCAAGCCAGATGGCTGATTCTGAATCTCTGGTGCACTGTGGGGTGCCAAGCATCTGCAGGGGTAATAACTTCCCACTAGAATTTGGAAGAGGCAGGGAGAGAGGAGGAAGGAAGAGGGAGGAAGGACACAGAGGAAGGGAGAGGAAGGGAGGGACGGTCTGAGACCTAGTCCTCAGTGACCAGTAGGCTTGGGGAACAATCAGACACTGTCTCTCTACTCCCCACCCCCAGGCTGCCATGGCTTTCATCACTGACCTAACCCAGAGGGCAGAGTGCTGGGCGGGGGTACAGAGGGCAGGGACGAGTCAGAGGTCAGCCTTTGCATGCTGAGCTGGGCCAGTGGTTGGAGGGACTCCGGTCCCCTCTGAGGTATACATCCCACCGCTGGCCTAGTCATCTGACTGAAGGCAGTGGCCGAGCAGAAAGGGTTGCCAAAGTGGTGGGATCAGGACAGTTACTCATTTAGCCAAACAGACCTTTGTGGAATGCCAGTCACATGCTGCTACTGTGCTAGGAGTTGGGGATGGAGGGTGGTTGATTGGGCTAGGCTCCAGGCTCTGGGAGCTTACAATATGGTAGAAGGTAGCAGAGAGAGAGAGAGCTGGTCAGTAAGCAGATAGATACACCAACTGCACACTACCTTGTATGAACACACAATGGCACTGCTGGCCCCCTGAGTCATTTCATGTCACCCCCAAAAGGTGTTGATGTGCAATTAACCCAGGGGTCTCTGCTGGGGTCTCTGCCAGCTGCCCCCTCACTGGCATCTCCAGCGTCTCCCCAGAGACCGTTTGAATAGAGCCGGTCACCTACTCCACTATGCTCATCTTGGGATTCGCTGATTTTCTCCCATCTCGCCTGCCACTCCCACTTGCTCTTACGAACTTGTCAGCAGCAGGCTCCACTGTCTCTTTCACTGTCCTCTTGGCTGCACTTGGCAAGTGCTCAATAAATATTTATAAATGAAGTTAGGAATGAGTGAGTGGGTCCGACCCACCCTTGACTTCTTGACCTTCACAGTGACCCTTCCATGCCATGTAGGCCTTGTGCTGGGCACAGCAGCAGCTCAGGGGTACAGGGTCAGGCACAGCCTGGCATTCTAATGACTCGCCTCACCATTGTGCATATACTTCAGATTCTCAGGCTTTGCAGTCAGCCCTGAGTC